CCAAAAACGCTGTAGAGTCCGGGGTCGCCACAGTGGGCCTCCCCAGTACTAGGTTGCAGACGGTGGACATCTCCCGGACTGACATTCAGGAAATCGTAGGGGCACCTTTGCATGCTGCCTCCAACTACAGTGCCTCAAAACTGACCAAGACCCTGAGACGCATTGGGCGAGAAGCCTTCCTGAAGTGTAGCTCGCTAGAAGTCATACACATTCCACCTGCCTTGCTGTACATCAATAAGCGAGCCTTTGCTGGCTGTACACAGCTCTGCAAACTCGTCCGAATGGGCAAGAAAGGAACTTGGAGGGGGACCTATGTAGAGCACAACACTTTTGAGATGTGTACCAAATTAACACTCCCATCGTGGATTCGGTCTCTTCCCAAGCCCGATGCAGCAAAAGAAGAGTGGGAAGAATTCATGATAAGTTGCGCAGAAGCTACTCTGAGTGATACTGCACGTTCGTAACAAGCATGTGACAACCTGGGAAAGCTAACTGTGCTACAGTGCCATTGGCCCAGTGGTAGAGTAGCAGAGGGTCTCTGCCCTTCGACCCTACTGCCAACCTTCTCCGCGCCACTGAGTAGTTAGCCAGCTCCCCTGGCTGCCTTCCAAGAGGTGGTCAGGGATGATACAGTGTACAGTACACTAGCACTAGGAACAGCGGCGTTTCACCTTTTTGTTTCACCTAGTTCATGGGGCTTGCATGATAGGCTGCACTCGGAAGCACTCGTGTGACGCAGACCTGCAGCAGAACCTTCTTAGGCACAACTATCACACCACGCCTGCTCTCGCGCCTGAGCGACCTGCATGTTGGTCAAGATTGCAAAGACTGGTTCAGCTAAGCTGTGAGACCAGGTCCGTTCCGTGTCATACTCATCATCGGAGCTGCCACCTGGTCTCTCGTGCTCCTTACTGCGGGGGAGGTGGTGATTTGCTTGCTGCTGCTCTTACCCTCTCGTTGGCTTCGCTTGCCTTATGCAGGTCTTCGTAGTGTCCTCTTTTTGGTTTTCCGTCTTGCGACTTAGCTGGCAATCCTTGCAAGCCTCAATTGCACGTCAAGTGGAAAATTTGCAGGGACTGGTGTGAGAGGCCAGGCATCAATCCTGAACCTCCTGTCACTTCTCGCTTGTCCAGGGTCTTTGCTCCACATGGCTGCGAGGCTGCAATGCCCGCTGTCACTCCTGTCTTGATCCCTGACAGGTATCCCAGGCTGCACAATGACCAAGCCAAGGACGAGCAGATTGAAGTTTTGTCCCGCATGCGTGAGGAGTTCTCAACACTGAATTGGTCACCTTGAAAATACTCACATGGTCTATGGCGCGTACGCATTCTTTGCTACAAGTTGTGTCGTGCCCAGCTCCGAATGGACCTAAAAAGAACCTGATTTGAACCTCACTCTTGCTTTCAGTCTCGCTCATGCATGCTGATACGCATTGCATCTCCTGTGGGATCCCTGCCAGCCAACAAGCAGAATGCAGTCTCGTCCTGGACGTCCTGTACTGAGAGCAGCTTGAAAGGAATTCATCGCCCCGTTTCACTTCTGTGTTTGGTCTTCGGATCTGCGCCTTTTGCTTTTTACGTCTTGAGCGGACATGAGCCTGATCTGCTTGGTTTTTGTGGTTGGTTTGGGTTTGTTTTAGTGTTTTTGTTTGTTGGGTTGTGGGTGTTTTGGTCCTTTTGGTTCCGTTGCTTCCTTTGGTCAGGCTCATTTCCTCGCACCCCTCATGTGAATTCATCACGGTGACTTGTGCCTCTCGGCACACATAGCGCCCTTACCCGTGCAAAAAAAGGACTTGTCCTATGTCCCCTGCAGGTCATGGCCTTCATAAGCTTGGTGCTCGATTGCCGGGGGCGCCTTCTCCAACGACATACTCTCGACGCTGCTCTATCAATCGCGCGCTCCGCAAACATTCCTGGGGATTTTGACCACAGTGAGTTGGAGACAGTGAGGATCATCCTCTGTCTCAACCTTAAGTGCTGCCAATCACGACTCCGAAACTTGGAAGTACCAATGCTACTGCATGCTGATGCCGATGTGTGCCATTTTGAAAATGCCAACTTGGAACAAACAGCAACTTATTTCGGCAAAGCCGTGTTCTTGGAAATAAGTCACGCAGTGCCAAGCTAAATAGCAATTGCTCGCAATGTTCCAAAACTCCGGCACATGCTTGGGCACTCCTTGTACATCTTGGCAAGCACCAACATTGTCACGCAAGTACTGCACGCAGGAAGGAACTTCGCTATGTCTTGACCATCAAGTACTGAGCGCAAGCGGAAGAACGAATTCGAAGCCCCGTCTCACCCCTCTTTCACAACTTTTGCGTCGGCTTTGATAGCCCTGCGGTGATACGAGCCCGGTTTTTTGGTGTTTTGTGTTTTGGGTCTGCGGTTGGTTTTGTTGTTTGTGCCTTGTTCTGGTGCCTGGCTCGTATCTCCCTAGTTACCCTATTTAATTCAATCAAGGTGACTTGTGCCTCTCGGCACACACAGCGCCTCCACCTGTGCAAAAAAAATATCAGTTTTGCCTGATCATCATGTACTGAGCGCAATGAGAAGAATGAATTCATTGCCCTGTCTCACCGCTTTTCACTCAGCTTTTGCTTCGGCTTACACAGCCTACCTGAGATACGAACCTGGCTGCTTTGGGTGTTTTGCGTGTTGTGTTTGTTTGGGGTGTTTTGTTGTGTTGGGCCTTGGTCTGGTGCTGGGCTCGTATCTCCATAGTATATTTAATTCAATCAAGGTGACTTGTGCCTTTCGGCACACACAGCGCCTCCACCTGTGCAAAAAATCAAATTCTTCAGCATTGAAGGTCCTGCTGCTTCCTTGATCAGGTGGTGGGAGGTTGATCCATCCTGGTTTATGCAACTGGTCACACAGTTCGAAGGTGTCTCTTTCTACATAGAGGCCTCTCCATGTGGCCTTGCCCTCCATTTTGACGAGCCGACTGAGTTGCGTACATCCTAAGAAGGCTCGGTGAGCAATGTAGATCAAGGCGGGCGGGGTGCGCACTTCACGCAACGAGGAACACAGGAAGGCTTTTTGGCCTGTCCGCCGTAATCTCTGTGGGAAGCGGAGTTGCTCCAAGCGCGAACAGTGCGCAAAGGTCGACCTTTCTTTTTGCACGGGTGTAGACGCCATGTGGGCAGAGGTTGCGCAGGTCATCTTACGCTAGTAATGTATAGCTCGTTGCAAACGATCGAACAGTCTAAACATGTGTTTTAGGTACCTGAGGTACCGGGTGTCATGTTGAGATCTTCACGTGTGATATTTGGCTTAAGGGACGGGTGGGTGGGTGCGTCTTTCCGCCGGGCAGATTCGCGGCCATGGGGGTTTAGGACTACAGCATGGAAGAGAACTTTGACAGTTTTTCGAGCATTCTAGATCTTGAAGAGTTGGCTCCAGTTGATTTGACTGAAACTGTTGATCTGACAGGCGGCTTGACTCGACAGGAATTCAATCATCCCCATGGTGAACAAGAATATGATGCGAGTCTGGTCGGAGGCGAGACAGTAGTGAGCCAAGATGTCAGGATTGAACGCTTCAATGAACTTGAGTCTCAGCACAGCAATTCCTGCATCAATACCGTGGTTGAGACCTCAGTGTGGAATAGCATGATTGCATCTGCCTATGACAGGTATCGTGCAAGGGAAGCTACACTTAGTTTCCCTTGGGAGGTAGGAGCAAGTGCAGAGATTTTTCAATCAAATCTTGGTTTGAGTTTGCCCAGCATCAGTTCGTTTAGCATTCAACCGCCGGCTGCTGTGGACAGAGCCTCGGAGTCTGTGCCTGAGATGTTTGGCAGTGACATTCAGCCTGGTGTTTGCTATGTGCATGCAGTCTCAGACATGAAGGATTTGGATTATTTCGAAGACAAACGATTGAAACTTGAACTGGCATGCGGCAAATGGATGAACCTACTTTCATGCAGCTGGGATGCATCCATCATAGGGATGCAACTTTGCAGGGACTTGCGCGTGGACCCCAGTGGCAAAGAGGCAACTGAGTCACTTCGAGCTTGCTTTGGCACTAAAAGTCCATCTACAGTTTTGAAGCGAGCTGCAACCATGAAAAAATTCGTGACATGGCATTACGAAGAGTTCGAGAGCAGAGGAGTCTTTGTTTCGCCCTTCCCTTTGACAGAGCAGGACGTTTGGGCATTCTTCCTTCATTTGAGGGATGAACGAGTCCGGACATCCAAAGGTTTTACAACCCCTGCCACCTTTTTGGAAACAGTACGATTTTGCAAATTTACAGTTGGGCTTCAAGGCTGTGATGCAATTCTACAATCAGGAAGGCTTCTGGGGTTCGCAGCGATCGAGCGCAGAGAGAAAGGGCCTACCAAACAGGCACCAATCCTAGAACTAGTTCACTTGAGGCGATTGCACGAGATCCTGGCAATAGGCAGTGATCCTGTGGATCAGCTAGGTGCAGGTGCTATGCTCGTATGCATCTATGCCAGGGCCAGATGGTCGGACCTGCGCTATGTTCACAGAGTCGAATTGGAGAAAGGGCGCAACGGTGCCATGGTCATCTACACACAGGAGCACAAGACCTCAGCAGTAGGGTTGAGACGAGAGCAGTATTTGCCTTTGGTTGTACCCTGGGAAGGTGTGATCAGTGGTGACTGGATTTCTTTGTTTACCCAGGTGTATGAAAGGCTTGGCTTGGAGCTTCACAAAGTCCCGCTTGGTCCGCTGATCCCAGCGCCTCGAGCTGGGGGAGGTTTTTGTGCTCGACCTCTCAGCACTCAGGAGGCATCCAAATGGTTGAGATTGCTGCTTTCAGGAACCCCGAACTCAGAGCAAGTGCGTTCGCATTCCATGAAGGCGACTCTTCTCAATTGGGCGGCAAGGGCTGGGTTAGACAAAGAAGTGCGGGCTGTTTTAGGCCACCACAGTTCAGCAGTGCAAGGCAGCGATGTTGTGTATTCGAGGGAGTTACAAACACGACCTTTGAGGAAGTTGCAAATGTTGCTCAAGAGTGTTAGGATTGGCTTGAACCTCGATGAGATAGCTGCACAGGGAACAATGCTGGCGACGACTCCCGCCTTGGCCACACCTAGGCCAAATGTGTTCACTCCAGTTCCGAGGCCTATGACCACAGACCCTGTGGAGTTTGGACCTCAGCCTGCACAGGTTATTGAGCAAGCAATTGAACTTGTTGCAGACGAAGAGGATCGTTTGAGTGCTAAAGAAGAGATGGAAGAAGTTCAGAACTACGCTAGCTTTGCTGGCGATCTGAGCCTCTTTGGAGAAGAGGCCGTGAGCAAGGGCTATGTTCAGATAGAGAGTTCTAGTGAGAGTGAAGATACTTCAGACAGCGTTTCTTCTTCGAATGATGATCAGGAGCGTTGGCGAGAAGCTGATGCCTACCAAGAGCTGGTCCCTGAAGGGGAGACCTTTCACAAGCACACCAAGACCTCCAGGCTGCATCGTGTCAAAGACAACAAGTCTTCGACTGAGTGTGGAAAGAAATTGAGTGAGAATTTCAGAGAGTTGGGAAGGGTATTGACCTTTAGGTTTCCAAAGTGCCTGATTTGCTTTCCTCAAGCGGAGGGAAGGTTCAGGACCAGAGAACAGGTCGTTGCTCGGCTCGACGAGGCCCTAAAGAGGGCGCGGCACTGATCTTAAGGACAGGCCGTGTGAGAGCAAAAAGTTGAAGCTCCTTGTAAAGGATCGAAAGCTCACAAGCAAACAAACCCTTCAGGCTTGGAGTGAGCCTCAACTGCACTCAGCTCGGTTTGGCTGACTTTGGCACAAGCTTTGGAACTAGGCTCTAGTTCGGCTTGACTGGACCGAGGGTCAAACTCCCTCTTTCCTACAATAAACCCTTCATCAGACCCCCGGTGTTCACAGGCAGTTAGTTCAAAGTTTTTTTTTTTGAATGAAGTCAGTTTGGGAAGGTTTTACGCTTAAGAGCGCCTAGTGCCAGACAGCTGGTTGTTTGAGAGCAAGTTGATCATGGAAAGCCATGTCAGAGTGGGCTCAAAGGAGCGTCCGCATAAGTCGCATGGAAGGCCATGCATATTCACTCTAAGGAGTCCACAGTAAACGGCCAGACGAAACGAAAGGAAACGTGAACCTACTTTGTTTGACTTGTTCTGTTCATGGCATGTGCAAGATTCAGTGTACGCTTTGCAAAACTGTGTCACCTCAAGTTTTCTTGTTTTGCATGTTCCTTCTCTCTTTTCGTTCTGCTGCAACCTTAGCCCGCACAATGGCAAGCATTGTCGACAGTGAGGCCCATTTCAGTCAGAGACTCGTTGAATTAGGCCTGGAGAGCGCCTTTTGCGATTCGTTAAAGACGGGTGGAGTCAAGACCTTGAGCCATCTCGCCTTCGCTTTGGGCCAGCCGAACCAAGTCGTGTCCAATGATGAGTTTGGACAGTTCTTGAGGACTTTGGTGGGTAGAGATCCCACTATTCAAGAGACCAGCAGCATAAAGAGACTGACCTTTGAGGCTCAAACATATGTCATTTCAGTTCTACGTCAAGGGCTGGACCAACATGATGAGACTGCACCAAGGCGAGTGGCTCATGCAGAAAGAACCACTCGAATGCAAGCGCTTCAGACTTCGCTGACCGGACTTCGACTGACCGGTGAGTTAGACCCGGCGCATGTTTTGTTGGACAGAGCTTCAGCCATGTACGACCAGAATGTTGTGAAATATTTGGAGCCTAGTTCATGCATAAGCCGTTCCCATGAAATTCAAGGCAGAAAAGAGTCCAAGGAGTTGAGCCTTGAGAAAGGCGCTTTGGTCCTCAAGAACCCGAACGAAAAGTTGACCAGTCCAACGGACACAGAATTGAAAATGCACTACGCAACGCAGAGGCGAGGTCTAGCATTCCAGTTTGCGAACCTCATGACCTATGCCCAACACAATGAATGGCTGACCTTCTTGATCGAAGCCCTTCATCGTGAGAGTCCACCCGGATACCAGCGCCCTAGCTTGGCACAGCTTCTGCAGTGTGACAGAGCGGCGTGGACACGCTTGTCTAGCACCCTCAACAGTGTTAGACAACAAGCTGACGGCAGCTATCCACTGGGAGATGAACTTTTGAAGTTGAGGTCGGACCCGAACATCACCTTATACCTCTCCCCGGTGGTGAAACCGAGCAATGCATCTTCGGAATCATCGAGCTGGCGTGCACACCCTTACAGTTTCAACAAACCTGAGCCGCACCAAGCAAAGGGCAAGAGCAAGGGCAAGGGCAAAGGCAAGGCAAGTGCACCTTCCATGCCGCAAGAGTTGCGTGGAAAGTGGTATAAAACCGCGGCTGGAGAGCCTTTGTGCTTTGGCTACAACCTCCATTCGGGCTGCAACCATTCGAAAACGGTGAAAGATGGTGAACGGTGCCCCAAAGGGTGGCACCTGTGCTGCGAGCCGAAGTGCCAGGGCGCACACCCTCTTTTCAAGCACGGGAAACAGAGCAATTGAGACAAGCAGGATGTAAATGCCTGCGAATGGCATGGAATTCACATCGAACAACTCTTTATGATTGAGATTTTTGCAGGTTATGGTGTTCTATGTGCCACTGCAAAGCAGAGTGGCATGTTGGGCAGCATTTCAGTCGACAAGATACGCAAGACTGGCGCTTACAGCACCATCACACAACTGGATCTGCGTGAGCAGATGCATAGAGAACTTTGGGAGGAGTGGATGAATTCACCCCTCCTATGCTGGATTCACTTGGCCCCGGTTTGTGGCACAGCAAGCCGGGCTCGAGACATACAGCGTCATTGGTCCGATCCCAAACCACTAAGGTCGGATGACTATCCGCATGGACTGCCAAGTTTGTCGGACAAGGACATGGCCAGAGTGGTCATTGCCAATGACTTGTTTTCATACAGTTGCAAATTGTTTCAACAAGCTGCAGAGAGGGGCATCTTGGTAACCATGGAGAATCCCTCCAACTCTTACTTCTGGCTGACTGATTGGTTCAACCGGCTGCTTCGAATTTGCCGCGTGATCGTGGCTGACTTTCAGGTCTGCATGTATGGTGGCACTCGTCCTAAATGGACTAGATTCGTTGGAAACTTTCCGGAACTGGAAGCTTTGTGTGCAAGATGCGATGGTTCACATCCACATGAGGCATGGCGTTTTGCAACAAACTCCGATGGGTCGCGAGTGTGGGCCACCAGCTTAGAGTCAAAGTATCCGAAACCTTTGTGTTTAGCCGTTTTGCACTGTGTTTTGCAAGCCTTGCATCGACAAGGAGTAATTCTTTTGCCTACCCATTTGCTGCAGATTCAACAGCACCCCTTGAAGTTAGCTCAGACTGCACAGATTGCGGCTGGCAAACAGCCCCGAGGTTCAAAGGTTCCGCATTTGGTGCCTGATTTTTCATCCACTGCCGTTTTTTGCGTACCGTCCCTGTCTGCAATTCCCTGTGGTTTGCTGAACAAGTTGAAGACCTCAATTCCGGCTGCTGCACGTTTTTTGCGTTCCTATCCCCTCACGTCCCCGGTGACCAAGGGGGATGGGCAGGGGACGATGAGTCTCGAAAATCCCACATCTTCTGGCAAAAGGCAAAGAGACGCCGATGAAACAGGGTTTGGAGTAGTCTTTGGACTGCCTTGGAGCTGTGAGCGATTCATTAAGCAAGCATGTTTGACAGGACACCCAGTGCTTCAAGACTTCAGCCTCTCCAAAGACCTTGAAGTCGCTTTGGAGAACCAACTAAATATGACTGAACAGCAGCTGGCGGATCACCGCATGCGGTGGTGTAGGAGATGGTTGAAGCGTGCGTCGGAATTGGACAATGAGGAGAAGCAGGATTGGGCTCAGAGGCCCTTGCACATCCGGCAGAATACCTCGTCCAAGAGGCTCTTGTTGACTGCAGAAATCTTAAAAGACATTGGTTATGAGGATCTGGCCGTAGTCGACTTGCTTCGCCGAGGGAGCTCTCTGGTAGGTGAGATTGAGCATTGCCCAGTGTTCAAGTCCTTGTACAAGCCTTGCATGTCCACCATGAGGCAACTGGCTGCTGGCGCCAGCAAGCGCAACCAAGCCATTCTGAAGATGACCACGTCGTGTGGTGACCTTGAGTTGGATCAAAAGCTTCTGGAGGAGACCAGGCTTGAGCTAGACAAGGGTTGGGCCGAGGGGCCTTTTGAGCCTTCGCAACTAGAACCTGGTGCAGTGATCTCGCGCAGATTCCCTCTGAGGCAGGGAAGCAAAATTCGAATGATCGACGATTATTCGGTAAGTGGCATTAATGACTGCACAACTACTCACAACAAGATTGACCTCCACATGATTGACACTTTTGCTGCGTTGGTGAGAGAGTTTTTCAAAAGAAGCAAAGCGTTTGGCACCTGCTCGGTTTTGTTGGCTAAGACCTATGACCTGAAAAGTGCATACCGCCAAGTCCCGGTCAAGACCGAACATCTGAGATTTGCTTACTTTTGCATTTACAATCATGAGCTGGACAAGCCGGAGATCTATCGCATGCAGACACTTCCTTTTGGTGCAACTCACAGTGTTTACAACTTCTTGAGGTTGTCCCGAGCACTGCACAGCATTGCAGCTCGAGGATTGTTTCTGCTGAACACCAACTTTTACGATGACTTCATTCTGGTTTCAAGGAGCCGCAATATCAAATCTGCACAGCACGGGATGGAACTGGTTTTTCTCTTGACTGGCTGGGAATTTGCTCGTGAAGGGAAGAAAGCAACCGAGTTCTCAGAGCTATGTCAGGCCCTGGGGGTAGAGTTCAATCTTCGACATTCCGCAGACGGCCGACTTTTGATTGGAAACACAGAGCAGCGCCGAAAGGAGCTCATCATGCACCTGGAACAAGTGATTAGTGCTCGGAAGCTCTCCCGACATGAGGCCTTGGTTTTGCGAGGCCGCTTGGGCTTTGCAGATAGCTTCATACATGGCCGCCTGGGCCGCTTGGTCTTGAGCAGACTGATAGAGCATGCTTACGGGACACAACCGTCCATGAATGACTCGTTGGTGGACGCCCTAAGTTGGATGAAAAGCAGGCTGGAGAGCACCAAGCCCCGGGAAGTGAACTCCGAGGCCTTGGACCAGTTTTTCTTGTTCACGGACGCGGCTTACGAGCCAGACGCACAAACTGGGGGCATGGGTGCGGTCCTTGTCAATTCCTACGGGACATGTGTGGCCTGGTTTGGAATTTTTCTTGACACCGTCATCTGTGGACTGTTTGGTTCGCAAAACAAAGACACCATCATTTATGAGTTGGAAATGTTGGCCGCAGTTTTCTCGATTTGTTTTTGGCAAGGCCTAGTAACTGACAGTTACACAGTTTGCTTTGGAGACAATGAAGCTGTCCGCTTTGCTCTGATCAAGGGCGCTGCGCAAGGGGTCGCGGGCCAGACTTTGATGCGCGAACTCCTGTCCTTTGAAACCCATCATCCTACCAACCTTTGGTTCGCACGTGTTCCGACTGAAGCCAATATAGCTGATCCTCCTTCTCGCTTTGAGCCACATCCTTTGTTAGAGAGTGAGACTTGTGTTTCCGACGATGCTTGCAAAACCTTCTTTGAGTTTGTTGCAAAGTACAAAACCCAGTTGGGTTCCGGCGCAATTTGATTGGGGCAAGAAGTGCGTCGTACCCCAACTTCCACTGAGAAAAGTGTGCGCCTGCTTTGTTTTC